TCAAATAAGCGACTATTTATATTGTTTGGTACGAAGACTCGCCATCAAATTGATTTTTCTGATTGGGAGACATTAGTGGACTTAGTGAAAGACGTAGTAACGCCCAACGTTGTGATCGCCATACATTGTAAGCTGGTCTGGTTCGTCTCTCCCCGGCCACTAAATTTTGGTATTGTAAGTCTTGGGTGGCGGACGTTTTGAAACCGGACGAGCAAAAGAAATACTAGTTGTGGAGCAAAACAGGGCTCAAAGAGCTGCCCAGAAAAATATTAAACAAGTGCTGCTCGACTATTTTTTTCCAAAAATGGGCAAAATAGCGGCTGAAATCGTTCAAAACTGCAGGATTTGTCAGAAGGCAAAATATAATGGACACTCATTAATGCAGGAATTAGGAATTTTCCCAATACAATCGCGGGTGGGAGAGACGTTACACATGGACATTTTCTCAACAGGGGGAAAGTACTTTCTCACTGCTGTCGATAAATTCAGCAAGTTTTCGGTGGTCCAGCCAATAGCATCGCGTGCCATATAAGATGTGAAAATCCCAATCCTTCAACTGGTGAATTTTTTTTCTAATGTTAGATCGATTTATTGCGATGATGCGGCATCGTTTAACTCCGAAACTATACGATCCATGCTAAAAAAAATCAGTACGATATCGATATAGCAGAGATTAAAGAAAGATTCCAAGACAATGATGACCCACCCAAAGAACCCCTCAGAGGCTGAAGATGGAGTAACTCTTAAACCGACGCAATAGACCCCTCTGCTTACGCAGAGCTCTACGTTGGGCTCCCCACGACAGGAACCGATCTATAAGATGCGGGCATTAGAAGAGAAGGCCTTGTCAGAATGCAAGGCAATTTTTAGAAAAATTAAGATAGCGATGCAAAAGCAACGAAATATCAGTATGGACGTCAAGGACAGCACCTCAGAATTGAGCGAGCTCTTCGATGTCATCGAAAATTATCGGTCGAGCTGGAAAACCGCAGAGCTGGAGTGCTCAAATGAATCGAGAAAGGTCAACGAACACATATTTTGCAATACAGCGAGCAAGACCCCCGTTTCGACACTAAAGAAGAGGACGGCCACTTGCCCAGCAGCGCAGGAGCTGAGCAAGAAGGTACGAACAAAACCGGCAAACGATGGATTTCAAATGGTCACATACAAGAAGGAGAAAAAAACAGTAACTAAAGAAGGACACGCAAGGCACAGTGGAGCTGAAAAAGCTAAAGAAAAGCGCAGGAATTCGCACTAGCCCAGAAGCCGTTCGTATCATACCAGCAGAGGAAAAGAGCTATGCCAGAGGAGTCCGACAGCAGGCAGGTGACATGCCCCTGGAGCTTGCCAAAGGGAGCCAAACAGACAAACTATGCGAGAACATCAAGAACCTTGAGGCAACTGGTCAAAGTGGAGATCAGAGATATCGACAGCATCATACGAGAAGAAGAGATCATGTCTGCAATCAGGGAAGGTTTAGGCGACACAAGCCAGAAAATAATTATACACCTGACAGGAGTAAATATCTCTGAACAGAGGCGAGCTTTCTTCACACTACCAATGAAAGACGCGTCGAAGATATTGACGGAACAAAGGATTAAAATAGGGTGGACCCGGTGCCGTGTTAAGCGTTGTCTCGATGCAAAGAGATGCTCCAGGTGTTTCGGGGCTGGACGCGTGCAAAAGAACTTCAAAGGACCGGACAGGAGAGACCTCTGCATCAGATGTGGCGAAAGTGGTCATAAAATGAAGACCAGAGCTAAAGCTCTGAGATGCTGTATCTGCGCATCAGAGAACAGGAGCGACGTTGGACACCTGCCTGGGACAGCGTACTGCCTTAGCGTGGCCAGAAAAGGAAAAACATGAAGATCCTCCAAGCGAATATGCACAGAAGCAAAACTGCAAATGACATGATCGACATAGTCATTATTAGCGAACAATATAAGAAACGGGAGGACGGTTTCTGGATAGAAGACGACACAAAGGCGGCGGCAATATGGATTCGAACCCTATCACGGTATATATGTATACCCCGGATATAATTATAAACGTTAAAAAGGCACAGCAGGAGCAGTTAAATCGTAACAACCCAGCTCGACGGCATAGAGTATTTAACGTAGGTGAGAAAGTTTTAGTAAAAACCAACAAGAGATTGGGAGATATGCTTACGCCTTTGTATGTCGATAACAAAGCCGATCCTGATACTGGGACAACGGTCCTAATATTATAAATGGGAGGGTGGTCCACAAGGACAATGTTCGATAAGGCCCACCAAGAAATATTATTTTCTAGGCTTACTATACCAAATAGTGTTAGGTACCCTAAACTTCCTACCCTAAAACTTGCAAAGGTAGAGTCTTACCATCGATTTTGAATTGCAGGCTCAGAAGAACTCTCACACAACCGTAGTCTATACTTTAAATTGATAATAACTTATCTGCTCTCACTCTTTAAAAAGTAAATGTTGTAAATCATTTAAAGTTAACACTAATGTCCTAAAGCCGATTCTGAAAGAGGTTTTCACAAAGGCTAACTTGCTGCTTAATGTGGCTCAGATGAAAATACTAGCTAGTAAGAAATTATTAAATTTTAAAGAACAAATATTTAATTTGTATGGTAGATAATACGATTTTTTCCAATCGCACACAAACGCCAGATATAACATGCTGTCACGTCATGGGCTAGGACTAATCATTCGCAGCGATTCAACGATCGCCCATGCAGGCTCGCCAGCGCAGTGAAACGCTCTCAGACTCCACTTTTAAGCCTGTCCTTTTTTCTCTAAACGAAAAAGCCTACAGCATATAACGGAGTCACAATTGCTTACAACCAAATGCCAGCTGCTGCAGCGTTAAACTGCTTCGCGTTCTGCGTATTGATAAAGATAGAGATTTATCAGGCGGCGAAGCAAAGCCTAGATGGCGGTGACTCAAATCCTTGCTAACATCGATATGGCCGAGGACGTCCATGTTTTGAAAGGGAGAGAAGTTAACAATGCAACGGTGATCTGAGATAAGAGCACGACGACGGACGGCGCATAAAGTCTTACGACGGACGGGTTTATAAACTAACCACAAGTATGCAAGAATAACAATTACTCGTAACTGCTACTTCCTCAGAACTCTCTTGTGGAATCGTTATAAATTCGATAAACTAGAACCTCCCGGCATATAAGGTTTCAATTCGATATTGACAGTCACGTACTGTTATGTCTTAACGTATTCATAAACTGTGTTTTTTGTTTTATGATAAAAGGACGATTGTCCTTGCGATTTATTTATTGATATCAAATTTTTCACAATAAATAATCTGCAGATCTGGCGGGCACATCGTAAACTGTAATCAATTAAAGGGACAAAAAAAACACTCAGCTAACTCCCCACCAATTTTTAACAAAACCGGTTCAGCCGTTATTAAGTTATAAATGGTGTAACCAACACAACTCTTTTTTAATAGGGTCCTTGCCCATTGAATCGTTTAAATTTTTCGGTGCCAAGAATAATTTCTAGCAATTATTTTCCGTTTGTTTGAAATCATTGCAAACCTAACTATAAACTGAATGAGAATGTCAGAGTACTGTCAGGCAGGCTCCGGCTTTCATTTTTTTTTTTCGTTTTCGTTTTTGGGCGAATACGTTCGTTTTCGTTTTAGGGGCTCCGGTTTTCACAAAATTTTTGTCATCGCTTCGTTATCGGAATGTTTCATTTTTTCATCGTTTCTCACTGTTCAAACAGCTGACTTGTTTTTTTAATTAAAAGTGAACAACGCGAAAAAATGCCTGTTGTATTTTCAATTGCCTCGAAACAGCCAAAAGAAGCCAGAAATTGATTGATTTGAGAAAATCGAGACATCTTTTTTCTTCGTTTTCATTTTATAAGTATTTTTAAGTGGTTGTTTTGTTCCACTACAAGTACGGAAGCATTGACGATAACTTTTGGCAATAGATTTATCGGCCCCTTAGCAAAACGAAAGTTGTTGTTGCCGACGGCAAATATTTTATTTATGAAATCATGATGGGGTCAGAAAAAAATTATTAAAAAAATAAATACGAATTAGACTGATCTACTGATGGTGTGAAATGAACACCAAAAGACCAAGGAGTCAACTCTTTTTTTCCTTTTGAAATAAAGAACCGATTTGATGCAGAAAAAGGCATTTACTTTTCATTTCGACAAAAAAAATTTGCACGTTTTTGAAAACGAAAAAAATCTTGTGAAAGTGAAAACGGGAGAACCAATTCTCGTTTTTGGAAACGAATACGAGAGAATCTTGTGAAAGTGAAAACCGGAGCCTACCTGTATGTTCTGACTATAATAGACTGTCTTCTAAAGTATGTTACAATAGATAGTTTTAACTGACTCTTCGCCGCTTCTAACACAGTTGGTACTAACATTTGTAGCACCTAATTATATTCAAAAAATTATTTGTGTTTTAATTTGTTCGTTTATATTTTTTTTCAATGTACGTTCCGTACGATAAATGACTGCGGTCCTTAATAGATTTGGCGGGATGTGGCTGTGAGACTCGCGGCGTAGAAAAAATGCTGTGAAAACAATATATTTTACCACAATATTTTTATTTTAGAAACACAAATGTTATTTAATTCCTTAACCCTTAAAAAGGATCTGCACACCGATTTTGCTGGTACAGTGCTAAGATATCACGTTTGTATTTTGGTCATAGTAAAATAATTTTAACTGTGTGATTTTAAAAAGAATTTGCGTATTTTTGGATTTAAGCCCCGAAAAATAGCATAAGTTTGGGTGCCAATAGAAGAACAAAGGTCAAGCTGTTCTTTAGGGACGTTTGTTGAAGTAGGCATGTGATAGTATCGTGGAATCAAGCCAAATACTTTCGCATTGATAGCAATAACGGATGACAGAGTTTGATAGCTTGACTAGATCAACTAGCCTAATAACCCTGGTTGAATGACAAACTATGTGTTAATTCACCTTCGTTTTAATGTTCTGGACATAAAGAAAAACAGATTTCTTATTTACCTCACAGCTGGCACTTCAAGAATATCCCACTCGACGGACATGTAAAACTCAGATAAGTCGACACCAACGGCAACAACGTTGCTGCCTTGCTGCTCATCCATGTGCCTCAAGTCGACCTTAAATTAAAAAAAGATATGTGATGTTCTGTAAATGCAATTATATAATATTAATATTCTGTATTATGTTTAAAAATTTAAACAAAATAAAAATATGTTTAAGTAAATTGCCCACTAAAATAACTGATCTAAAAATTGGAAGCTGACGCATACACAAGAATTTGTAATATACATGCAAAAATTTTTAAAAAACATATTCCAATTACGTTTGCCTAAAAAAGTTTTTTTTTATTCAATTTAACTGTTTTCAGCAAAATTAAATAAAAATTAATAACTTTGGCACTTGTATAATAATTTTGATTACATTTTTCATGTACGCGTGAATACAACATCAATTTTGTTACAAAAAAAAGTTTATTGATGAAGAAGTTTCAAGGTACATTAAGCTTAGTCTAACATATAACTACATAATTAATATTATTTTAAGACTTAAAATGTTTTCAAAACCACCATTAAGGCAAAGACTTGAATTTTGACTCTTAATTTATTTTCATGGTTCTCTTTATGACTTTATAAAACACTACCACTTAAGTGGACGTATAAAAGTACATACATACTTTAAATCGATTTTCCCGAAAACGTTGTTTTGAGAATCGGTGAACATCAGAACTCAAAATCTACTAAAGCGATTCTTCTTAAATTGTTAACATAAATTGTTCACATAAATACGCAGGTAATCAGGAAGAGCTTTTTTTAATTTTTTTTCTATTTAAAAAAAAATAAATTATCAGCCATTTTTTGAGCTAAAATCGCACTTTTCACTTTTAAGTGCTCCCAAAAATAGACAAAAAAAGTTTAAAAAAAAAACTCTTCCTTATTACCTCGAGAAATTTATTATCTTTACAGCGTATATCACTGTTTTTTTTTAGATGATTCGCTAACGAGTTACGATGTTCACCGCAAAACAACTTTTTCTTTAGGCGCTTCAGAAGAACACAGTCTTACAAAATTGAAAAAAAAAAAAATTTTGCAACGGAGATGGGGTGTATTTTTTTGGGTTGGGGGTGACGAAAGACTACAAAAAACATCAAAAAAAAAAGGGGTTGGCTAGCCGTAGAAATTTCGCAGTAGAGGTAATTTTTCATTTTTCCCTTTTTTTCGAAAAATGACTCCGACTTTCTTACAAGTATTAGCTACAATTTTGCACAAACGAGAAATTCATTATCTTTACAGCGTATATCACTGTTTTTTTTAGATGATCCGTTAACGAGTTACGATTTTTACCGCAAAACAACTTTCTCTTTAGGCGCTTCAGAATAACATAGTCTTACAAAATTAAAAAAATTTTTTGCAACGGAGATGGGGTGTATTTTTTTGGGTTGGGGGTGACGAAAGACTACAAAAAACATCATTCGCAGTAGAGGTAATTTTTCATTTTTCCCTTTTTTCGAAAAATGTCTCCGACTTTCTTACAAGTATTACCTACAATTTTTTTCCGATAGAGTTTATCAATACTTTGTTTCAAAGGTAATACTCTTACGCAAAAGCACATTTGACGTTGTCTACCTCATTCCTTTCACTAGTTATGACCAAAAGTGTAGGAAATGTTGTTCAATAAAACCGCATTTTTAGCATTTTTATTCACCTTTGACGCTGTATAACAGTACCGTGGGGAAGAAATGTAAAAAAATTCTTTTCTGGTGTCGTAGAGAATTATATTACAAACATCCCCATATATCTCATTACGTTTACTATTATTCAATTTTAACGTTCGTTTTTGCATAAAGGTGAAAAAGGACTTAGAAGTGAACGCGCCGCAAGTAGTGTGGTCATAAATATGCGCATGGTGAAAAAACTCAATTCGCTGCGTTTTCATGAGTTTCATGAATTTCAAATATTTTTGTAACTTGAAAACAACTTTTCGCGGTTTGTGGGCGTCGCACTTTTTTTTTTAATTTCCTTTTCTGTGTTATATCTGTATTCTTATTCCAATATTTTAGCTTAAATAGTTTTCAATTTATTCACGTTCAACAGAAAGTTGGTGTGGAATACTAAAGAGAACGGCTTTCGTGGCCTTTTTATTACCAGACACCTTATCATCAAAGTGAAATGTTGCGCCAGCAAAAATGTTGGCGCCACAGAGTTTCGACGTTTGCGGGCGTGGTACTTTCAAACAGAAGAACGTATGCCCCTTTTAAAGCAGCAGGGCCTAAAAGCATGCGTGGGAGATTAAAGCAAGAAAGGAAGATTTTTATAAAATTTAATTGGAAATTCAAAAATGTAGCTTTTTTGATGAAGAAACAACGATGTTATTATTTTTTTCCGGTAATTTTAGTTATGGCAGCTACATGATATAGTTGCACGGTTTTATAAGTTTTTTTATTTATATATAGAGTATGTCGGAGGATCGTTTGTCTGTTTCATTTTTTGAATTAAATTCTCAGCAGCAAGTTCCGTTCGTCTTACAAGCGCTTTCTGAACTGACTTCCCAAAAGTCTACATTCTTCTCAATTCTTATACATTTTTAGTCGTCTCTTTCTAACATTTATGTCTGCGCTTAACGAACAGACCTCACTTGGCAACAGTCTATATTTGTCCTGATCTGCCATCCTTTCACTCAATTTCTAAATTTCTTTTTCAATAGGTCCTGCTTCACATTAAAGAAGGCCCCGCTTCACATGCTCTGACCAAGAGGATAAAGTAGGCCCCGTTTCATTTGATCCGACACGGCCTTCATGACGAATCACACGTCCTCATGTGTTACCTTAAAATCACAGTATTCTCAAATTTCAGTTCTCATTACATTTTATTATCAACAAACATTTCATTACTTTTTCTGCACATTCTCATTACATTTTATTATCAACAAACATTTCATTACCTACTTTTTCTACACATAAGTTTTGAGGCAGACAAAATAAGCAAATTGATTTCTTAGTAATTTTCTTTTTAATCATAATTTAGAATTTAGACATGACTAATTGCATAGCTTTATCAACTGGTGTATTTCCTTTTACACCCACATACTGACCCTCGTTATAACAAGTCCTTCTGTTATGGTGCGGTCATCACTAACCCCCGATATAAAAATTCCTTCTGTTATGGTGCGGTTATTCTATCCCCTCTTGGGATTCCAAGGCATTCACCGTGGCATCCATATCATCATTCCCCACATGGAAATCAGACGCATTTGCACTAGAGTCGTCTAAATCTTTATCAACTTCATTACTTATTTGTCTACTTGGCAATGCCATCAAAAACTCATGCGCATATTTATAAGTTCTTTTGCTAGTTAATGATTTTAAAGTGTACCGATCTTCATCTAATAGTTCAATTATTTCAAAAGGACCTTTAAACTTTGGATCAAGCTTTGTTTGATGACGCTCTTCATTTTTTAGCAATACGTGGTCTCCTACGTTATATTTTATTATTTTTGCCTTGTTCTTATCAAATCTGTGTTTGTCGTAACGAGCATTGAATTCCATGTTTTCTTTAGCATGTTTTCTTAAATTTTCCCTTTCAACTAAATTGTTCTCTTCATCACCTATCGGCAAAAGGCCAAAAGGTCTAGCTTCCCTACCGATTAGCACTTCTAATGGGCTGACCTTGGTGAGTCGATTGGCCGTATAATTCATTGCGAGCTGTACTTCGGGTAAGGCGTCGTGCCACGACCTCTGACTAGTTTCGACAACGGTCAACATACTCTTAAGCGTGCTCATTACACGTTCCACCTAGCCATTTGCTCTGCTCGTACATGTAGCAATTAAGTGTGGGTCAATTTTTTGTTTTTTCGGTTGTTCTCACGAAAATGGTTAACAGTTATTTGAGCTATGCATTATATAGAAAAATCGATATTTTTCTGGTATTTTACGCGTTGTTAGACGCAATAATATCTTTAAACATTAAACAACTTTTAAACCCGAACTGGCAAAACAGCAATCTGTAAAACAATGTTCTGTAAAACAAGAGTATCGGTACATTTTTGGAGCTCCAAAAAATTTAAAACATTTTACAAACAAATGTTCATTTGATTTTCTAGACGTGATAGTAAGATTGTGAGATAGTTTCTTTATTTATTTGTTGACGTAAAATGTGTTCTATCATCATTCTATTTTTCAGAAATGACTAGGAAGTGACCTCTTCATGATAGGTGTATATTTTGTTGTTGTCAAATGTGTTCTATCGTCATTCTCTTTTTCAGAAGTGACTTCTAGACGATAGGGGATAATTCATCTTCCAAATGTTTGCAGGGAAATGTGTCTCGTAGGTCACGTCACGAATGTAAAAGTAATACAAACCCATTTTCTGATTTGGGGCTATGATGACTTCAAATCCCGAAGAACACATTTCCAAAAGAACTTGAAAAACTTCATAAAAAATCGTATTTTGGGTATTGGCCTCAATTAGAAATTAGTAAGCACTTCCGATTTTTTCACCCCAGCAGAGGGTAGTATAATTTCAGACAGAAGCTTGCAACGCAATTGAGGAGACACCTCAAACCATATTTAGTATACATATTCTTGAAGAGCATCACGATCAGAATCCAAATACATCTATCCGTCTGTCAGTTTCTATGTAAACTAGTTTCTCAGTGTTACAAGCTTTCCAAGACGGCCGGGAAAATGCACGTAAACAACTAATGAAAATGTTCAAGCAGTGAAAGCAGTGAAAAAATAGTTTAAAAAATCGTCAAAACTATCGGATAAGTTTCTGAGGATGTCGGTGTGTTACTTTGGGCATCTTTTGGGCATTCTAAGGTTTGGGCATAATTGAAGAAAATAAGTGTTTACGGGTACAAGATGGTAAACAAAAGCTTATGAGAGAATCGAAACGATTATTAAGATGGAAAAACGTTTAAGACAGAGTCGTCTACAATGTGGTTAATGGAAAACGCCTAAAAAGAGAAAGGTTTATCCGGCAACACTTGACAAACGACGAAAGGGCAACTAATAAGTGGAGCCGAGTCAGCTTTAGCTTTAGCAGTTACGTGGCGGTACAATCCCCAAATTGTGTCCCCCGGGAGTACGCGTCACAATATCTGATCGTATTTGACAGAAAAC